AGGAGGAGGAGGAGAAGGAGGAGGAGGAGGAGGAGGAGGAGGAGGAGAAGGAGGAGGAGGAGGAGCAGGAGGAGGAGGAAAAGGAGGAGGAGGAGGAGCAGGAGGAGGAGGAGAAGGAGGAGGAGGAAGAAGAGGAGGAGGAGGAGCAGGAGAAGGAGCAGGCGGAAGAGTAGAAGGGGGAGGAGGAGAAAGAGGAGGAGGTGAGGAGGAGGAGGAGGAGGAAGAGAAGGAGGAGGAGGAGGAGGAAGAGAAGGAGGAGGAGGAGGAGGGAGGTGAGGAAGGAGATGAAGAGATATATAAGGACGTTGAGAGTCGGGGGAAGGGCGGGAAGAAGCTATTACATTTTACAGAAGAAAGATACTGTTCACTCTCTTTCCTACATAATATTGTGAGTCTATAATATTGTCACGTATCCCATTGACACAATTTGAAATACGTAAGAGGCAGGCTACTTCTATCCTGCCGGTAAGAACTGACTTTCGTCAAGTGGGCAGATCGTCCTATAATAGGAAAAAATGAGAAGCTCGATAAAAAAAGATTAACACAGATCTAAACTAAAATGTGACTGCAGAATGTGACTGCAGAGTTAAAGGACCGGATAAATGCACTGATGCCGATCAGAAGGTGTGTCTCGTGCAGACCCTGTCGCCTGACATGACTCTGTGAATAGAACATATGGACACTTTGTAGACACGAAGAAGAATAAATCATGTGCTACATGCATATTATTTGAAACAAAACAAAAAAGTTTTCGGAAAGTGGCAGTCGCAAGGTTCTGCTTGCTTTGTAGTTTTTTCCATTTTGTTTTTGTTTGTTTTGTTTTGTTTTTCTTATGTATTTAAGAGCTCTTAGACTCGATTACGGCAAAAAGCAAGGCAGATAGGTCATTTGACATTTAACTGGGATGATTTTTTTTAAACTATTACCTTGGGGGCGCATCCCTTTTGGACCATTTTATGTACTTTCTGATTTCTTTTAGACCAGTTGAACAGCTAATTTTATTTTGCCAGGTAGTAATCGGACTAAATAACGATTGTAGATATATACGGCATCGAATACAAGTTGATCAGTGATTTTGTTTTGGTAAGTGGTTTACGGCGCCCGATACTGCATAAGGTCATAATATGAGCGCACGAAACACTTCCAAACATTTCCAGTTCGGTAGGAATACATTTTGAATTTTGCCTGGGTGGTGGCCAAAGACTACTCTTATCGATTTTGGACCACCAAAGGATCTTTAATGTGAGCAACTTCTATACGAGACCTCCGAGATCCCCCCCCCCCCCACCCCCCATATCCGAGAAGCCTAGGTATTAGATCTTACCAACCATAAGATCTATGGTGTAGCTGAAACACAGCAGTAATGAGCCAAAAAGTAGCAGTTGAAAGGCTGCAGACAGAGTCAGGAGCTCAGAGGCAAAAACAAAAAGTGGGGGGGGGGGGGGGGGGGGGGGGCCAAAAAGGAGCAAAAGAACAGGATTAGATCGCAGGAAAGGAGAGGAAAATTTTAGAAAAGAAAATTTTTCGTCGCTTTCAGGTTTCGAACCAAGGACTTTTTGAATGAGAGGCGAACACCGTAACCTCTAAAACACGAGAGCCCCCACTGATCAGTGAAAGTGAAGGAAAAGTTCAACTCTGCCAGACACACCAACATGATTTCACACAATGCTGTGTGTTTCGCGCGTGCTGTTTTTAAACTTGTCTGGTTAACTGTCCCATTGGAATTTGTGTGTGTGTGTGTGTGTGTGTGTGTGTGTGTTTATGCTTGTGTGTATGTGTTATACGCGCGCGCGCATGTGTGTGTGTGTGTGTGTGTGTGTGTGTGTGTGTGTGTGTGTGTGTGTGTGTGTGTGTGTGTGTGTGTGTGAACTTGCTTCCAGAATAAACAGATCTTGCTCTGGCAACTAGAGTTTTTGACGTCTCTAGTACACGCACAGGTCACACCTCAGTGTGTATAACGTTGTAGAATTTCCAATGCTTTTATATAGAGCAGAGAAACAAGAAAATTAGACAGACAAATGTTTATCTTAATATATCCCAAACAGACAATGAAAGTTCTGTTTCTCGGAAATTCATCTCAAAATGAATGTGACGATCAGAACCGAACCATAATATTTAACCAGTTAAACATATCATTCTGACGAGGCAGATAAGCACAACACTTTAGGAAAGGAAGAGTGGCTACTATCTATTGACATTACAAGTTTTGAGCTATTATTTTATTTACATAACTCCTTTTACCAGTTGTTAACAAGGTCTATAACTTGAATGTTAAAAGTCGTTTTCAGTTCATTTTGGACAAACTACTATAAATCTACAAGCATAGAAATTAATGGACGTGCTATTTATTTACCCCCGCCCCAAACACACACACACACACACACACACACACACACACACACACACACACACACATACACACACACACACACACATCTGCCCATCAAGCTTGAAGGTCATTGTGGGCAAAACGTCCTGACATAATTAAGATAAAGAAAGGGTTAATTACCAGAGACATTGTTTCTGTAACATGTACTATTCCTTGTCTGATGTAGGACATAGGACGACAGTCTTTCTTTGGAAGTGTCTACGGGGGCTTTTATGAATGTCTGTTCAGTTGTGTGACACTGCTGGTTCTTGAATACAAAAAATTGCCTAGTATTAACAATTTAGGGGGGGGGGGTCACTCGGACTCGCAACCGTAAGGTCGTGGGTTCGAATCCCGTCAGGGGCCCGACGTTGTGTCCTTGGGAAAGGCACTTTACACGAATTTTCCTCACTTCACCCAGGTGGGAATGGGTACCCGGCTATAGACAGCGAAAGATCTTGTCAGTTTGTTAGTGTTTGAGCGCTTAATCAGCTGCTTGCACTGTATGCTTCCCGGGAAGCTGAGAATGTTTCTATGGTCTGCTGGGGTAATAATATAGTGTAAAGCGCATAGAGCCTGCTGTTGAGCGGGGATATGCGCTATACAAATGCTATCTATTATTTTTTTTTATTACTTCTGGCCTCCAAGTTAATAAAGAAAATCACACACATTTTCCATTTGACCTTGGAGGGTAGAACAAAATGCATGTTGATTTTCATGACGCTTTAAAAAAGGTGTTTTGCATTCCATATACTCTTGCTGTAGGTTTTGTTTTTACCTAGACGGCAAGACTATATAAGCAGAGCATACCAACTGACCAACACGTTTGACATCCCAACGAAATCACAGGTAAGAAGCAGATTTCAATGCTGTCCACCCTCTTTCTCTCTATCTTGCGGGTTTATGGAACGCTACGAAGAGGATAAATTTAATACTTGTAATCCTTTATTTTAAAATAAATCTTGTGCTCACATACTCAACTTTTCTACGTAGGCAGTTTGCAAGGTCCCTAAGGTTCTCCAACAACTTGGCTCTGTCGTATAGAAGGCTGGCGGTCAATTTAGTGGCGATGACACTGAAATAATCTTGCAGTGTTGAATGGTTGTTAAACATCACCACACAATTTATCTGAAAGGAGAGAATAAAAAGAAAACTGTTCTCAACAACTGCTCTTGAAAAAATGGTGTTCTCATGCGACCGTGGATCCATTCAATTCAAGTACTGTTTTCTTTCTTACATGGAGCGGGAGCGGGAGGGGGGGGGTGGTTCTAAATGCATACTTTAGATGTTCTTTTCGAAACAGAAAATGGAAGAAAATACCAACTACCGTATTTCTTTCATTTCATCTCTTACTATGATTGCAGTAGAGGTTTGATAAAGTTAAACATGATGAGCTTTTTAAAATGTTGGATGTGCTTAGTCTAAATAGGGTGTATTTCAGACTGATCAAGAATTTGTACTGAGACCAAAGCACAACTGTAAGAAGTGAGGGAGAGTACAGCTAATAATAATATAAATATATTAAAGCACGAGTTAGGCAAGGCTGCATTGTGTCGACAGACCTTTTTCACATATTCTATGTTGCAACGCTCTATTAAAATAAACAAGAAAGCCCAAGGCCAAAGTGAAGGAAAATATTTTTTTTAATAGTTATAGTGTTGATACAGTTTTAATCACAGATGCACAAAGGCTTTCAATTACTTTTTGATACTATTCTGACTGACATTAAACAGAAATGGCTATTGTTGAACGTTAAGAGAGCAGAATGCTTTGTAATATCTGAAAAAAGCAGTAAATCCCATGTGTATCCTCATAAGCAAAGTAAAAACATCAAACGAGTGAAAGTTTAAATAGTCAAATGTTTCAAAGCTATAAATCGAAGAATGGTAAGAGCTAAAAACCGTTTTAACAAAACGAGTCCAATTCAGACTAATGGAAACGTCTCAGTGACTACCTAATAAGGAGTTCTAACCGGCTATTTATTGTCACCTTCTTATACGGATGCGAATGCTGGACAGCTACCAAAATAGTGAAAAGAAAATAGAAGCAACAAAAGTGTGGTTTCCAAGAAGATTGTTGAGAATTTCATGGAAGGAAAAGAAACCAAACAAGGTAAAACGTAAAGAAACCCACGTTAGCCGCTCATCAATAAAAATCATTTTGGGGGAACCGAATGCAGTTTCTGGGACTCTTCAGTCGTCACAAATTGTTCTAAAAATAGAAAAAAATACAAGGCAAACGAGGCAATGTGTAGACCCAGAGCAATCTACTTGGAAATCCTGAACAGATGAATGACACAGAAAAAAAAACCAGGATAATAATACGACTGATAGATTTTTGGAAAGTATACGAGAGGAGAAATAAATGGCCAACCATTACACGTATTCCGATGACAGTTTGTGGTCTTGCACTGATGATGATAATGATGATGATGATGATGATGATGATGATGATGATGATGATGATGATGATGATGATGATGATGATGATGATGATGATGATAGCTGCATCTGAGCAGTGAAAGATTTCAAGTGGAACCTATGACACATGTTGTCTTTCTCTACTCACGTCCCCCACCCCCTCCTTTTTTCCACAATTTCCCCAGAATGGCTCGTTATCTCGCTCTCTTCGTGCTCCTCCCTGCCTTTGCCCTGGCTGTGGTGAACCTCAAGCCTTATGACCAAACGGCCAAGCGCATGTTGGGCAAAATTGACGCCAACGGTGACAAAACCTTGTCACGTAGCGAGATGGAGGCAATCGTAGGCGTGAGTACAAGGGTCCATTGAACGTTAAATTAAAATTGACAGTAGGTTGTCCGTCTTCTTTGTGATAAAAAAACTTGGGGCAATCTTGGTTAAGATGCTTCTTTAAGTAATCAACATCTAGCAATTTTTTTTTTCTTTTTCTTTGTTTTTTTCTTAAATCACAAAGAGGACGGAGAACTGTCAGTTTTAACCCCTCTCTCCTTCCTCTTTAGAACACATTTCTAATCTGCTACTTTAAACAAATCGACCTTTCAGGCCTACACTGGTAAGTTTTTCGTGGTGATACAGTGGAACGTAAATTCATCGAAGTTATCGAGCCTAACCTTCAGTTAAATTGAATCTGAGGGTTCGTTATAGCAAAATGAGGTCTTTGTGTAGATAATGACATGGACTGAGCAAGTAATGTATAATGTATTCGACTTTCTCAATCAAAGGTGGTTTTGTTTCATATGAGAGGCATTTTTGTTTCTTTGATGCCACACCAAAGAAATGCCGGTAAATTCTTGGAAAATACACTGAACTCGACCAAGCACATGTTGTACGAAAGGTCTTAAGTTCAAATGCACACCTGTGGCATATATCATCTATGACGTATTGTTTGCCGAGCAAGTTATGTTGCTGTGTATAGCCTAACATACGGCAACGTCTGATTCCACAAACCAGCGTGCAATCCATTACGTAGACCGTTGCCCAAACTAGCTTATCATTGTAATTTTGATCAGTTGCCGAGCAGTGTGACTCGTTGGTATCTCTACTGACGTTCCACGACCAAACCTCTTGTGCCCCCTCCCCCCAGACACACTCACACAGCACGTCAACACAGTCACTCACTACACTTGTGCTGGCCGCCCATTCGACCCCGACACACGCTAGACACGTTTGCGTGCCAACAAAGCATGAGCTAGTATGAAAGAAGGACACCAATTGGTCGCATAATAAATAAACAAAAAGCAAAGAGAATAATGATTCACGATGCAAATGCCAGGGATGATTTCCGGGATGAATCGAGTTCATTTCAGGAAACAGAATTAATGAGCATTGAATCCGAGCCAGCTCATGTGTTCGTGGAAACCAAGTTACTTTTATGATTTTAATGAATAGAAAAAGACAAGGTATACTATTATTGCTCAGGATGACCTGCCACGCATAATCAAAAAAGTTGAACTGCTTTGATTGTGGCGATGGGTTTTGTTGAAGAAGGAGGGGTCATCAAATCTAGATCTGTAACACTACTAAATAGCTATGAAGAGTTCTCCTTATCTAATCGAATCCATCTTCCATCTAATCACAGCATGCTGACACAAACAAAGACCACAAAGTTACTGGTGCTGAGTTCAACGTATGGGTCGATAAGCACATTCCTGCCCAGAGAGCAATCAGCCAGGCCGTCTTCAAACTTTTCGACACGAACAGCGACAACAGTCTCAAAAAACATGATTTCGATGTCTTCTTCAACCGCATGGATGCCGACAAGAATCACTCAGTCTCCCAGAGCGAGTTTGTTGCGTGAGTAGCATCTTCATTGGTCAGTTTAATAATCTGCTTTGTTGTCTACGTTTGTGTGTCCGTATATTTGTCGTTGAACGTATCAATCTATTGTTCTCTTTTTTTACATGTCTGTTTCATAACCTATCTATCTATCTATCTATCTATCTATCTATCTATCTATCTATCTATCTATCTATCTATCTATCTATCTATCTATCTGTCTATCATGAATCGTAATTTCAAGAAACGCCCTTTAGCCAGGCGTTTGGTTAGGTAGTGAATGAGATGTGTCCTTTAGGATGAAATTAAAGGAAGGTAAAGAACAAAAAATAGCAAGTGGCGCTTCTTTTGCGGATCATAGTGGACTATAGTTTGTTCACTTTCGTCTGGCCGCGGTTAAGACAAATAAAAGCAAGTGTCTCTGTATAATCTTTCCAGGTCTTTGCATACAGGTCTTAAACCTGAATAATCAACAGAATATAAACGCCCATTAATGAAACCTACTGTAAATTAAGGTTCCAATACTTTTTTTGTCTTGTTTGGTTTTCTTTTTTTTTGGGAGGGGGGGTTGCTTTTTGTTTTGTTTTTGTTTGCTGAATCATGTTTAAAAATTAAGGGAATTACGTTTTACTCTTAAAACATCAAAACATTTATATTTGCCTATTTTCATAAACACCACACTTTAAAACACGCCTTTGAAACACGGTCCACATGTGAATAACTATATTTCGAGACTGACCTGGAGACGTCTTGAAATGTTTTAAAAGAAATAATCTACACTGAGAGAGTGTGTGTAAGGGGGAAGGGGGCAGGGTAGCACATTGAAAAATCTGTAGGCTAGGTTACTGTAAATCATTCGGTGTAGTGATGCTGTAGCTGTACCAAGAAGGTGGTTTTCTAATATATAGCTCAAATAAAAGAACTTTATCTTACTGGATAGAGAATTTTTTGGGAAAACATTAGTTTTGGTTGGGTACTGATCTACAAGAGTGCCACGTAATGTAACGAGCACATTGGCAAGGCAATAAATAAGCAATAACGTAGTGTACACTAAATATAGTATGCCATTGAACCTGATTTTTTTCCTTAGATAAATAAAATCATCTTTGCTTGCCATTTTCTTTCCTTTTAGTTACTGGGTCAACATTTTCAAGAACTTGGAAGCCCAAGGCTAAACTGAAGATAGGTGAGTCATCCTGACGTTCTACAATGATGTTCAGTTGTTGGAAGACGCATGTTGTACAAGAAATTTGTTAATAAATTCATTTCTTTGTTGAAAACAGAACCAACGGCTTTGTGTCTACTCCAGAAATCCACAACTTACGTTTTGCTTTCTTTGTTGCACATGTTGTTCCTTGATAAGGTGCCAAACTCAGCAAGAGAGTTGCAGAAAATGAGAAGACAACTTTTGACCGTTGTCGAACTCAAAAACTTTGGGGCTTTTCTTAGTTTGCTAACAAACTTGTTCATTGCCACCAGTACCACTATTTAAACATCGTAGAGTCCTAGTTCATGAGAAGGACTTTGAATAACGAGTCTAGCAACGTTCCATTTATTAAGGAGAAGGGGGGGGGGTGATAGAAGGGTTCAGTTAGACATGTTTCATATGTCTTGTAACGCGGTGAAATCAGCTGGTCAAAATAATGCAGTCAAAGAAACAGACATTCTAGCGCCCGTTGGGCAAATTTTATATATTATTTTATTTTAGCTAAAAAAAATTATGTCAATTAAAACCACACCTGTATATGTGAACAGTACTGGAAAAACATGTATCGAATATTCGTAAAATGTACATTTGCAATGTCCAAGGACACTCAACTTTTGGGAGTCACCAATCTGTGGTGGTCACTTACTCACTTATCTACCTCTGACACCAGGCAACCTCACCTCCTCCAATTGCAAATATATCGACTTCTATACGAGAAAATTTAGTAAGAATATGAATGAGCACACTTGAAGATGAAACACATAACTCCACAACTGATAAAATTCTACTAACTTCTGATATCACTGTTTCGTGACACATGGATGTCACAAAGGCTCAAGGTAGAAATTGCCATATGAATTTAACAGCCAGATCAAGGAAATAAAAGGTGTTGAGCCTCAGAGAGAGAGAGAAAGAGAGAGAGAGAGAGAGAGAGAGAGAGAGAGAGAGAGAGAGAGAGAGAGAGAGAGGAGAGAGAGAGAAGGAAGGGAGAGAAAGAAGAAGAGTGAAAGAGAAAGAGAAAGAAAGAGAGACAGAGAAAGGAAGAGAGAGAGAGAGAGAGAGAGAGAGAGAGAGAGAGAGAGAGAGAGAGAGAGAGAGAGATAGGAGAGAGGAGAGAGGGAAAGTAGTGGGGGTTTGGGGGGGGGGGTACTTGAAAAGAGGGCGTCGAATGTAAAGAATACATGAAAATAAAAACTTTTGAAGAATAAGAAGAAAAAAGAAGATGAAGATTAGCAACAGCAATAAACACAACAACAACTACAACAACAACAATAACAACAACAACAACAACAACAACAACAACAACAACAACAATATCAATAACAATAACAATAACAATATCAACACAAGAAAGAGAGGGAACAAAAGCAAGAAAAAATGTCTGGGAATAAACAAATAAAATACATGTGCAATTATTGTTATCAGGTTCAAACAAAAAGAAAAACAAAGAGTTTCACACGATATTTGGAGCTCTTTTAAAGAAAGTGGCTATTCTCACCCGCCCGGAAGTTCTCGCAAGATCAACTCCTCCCCTCTTCTCTCTCTCTCTCTGTCTCTTTCTGAATACTGTCTATCGGTGTGGACGATCAAATTGACCAAAACAAAGTTAAAAAATAATGTTAAAACACAAAAGTAAATTAATTTGGTTGTCTACAAAGATGCTACGGCTATTGAACTTTTCGAATCGAGCCGAACTACGCGGGTCGCCATTTTGTTTTGGCCGGAAATTCTCGCGCTACTCCTCTCTCTCTTTCTCTCTCTCTCTCTCCACTGCCCACAGACAAAATTGTACGCTTTTAGTAGGCTACAGTTGTAATGGAACGTTTGTTCACGGCACAGAATTCTACAATTTTTCTGTTATCACAGTGTAGAATTCTGTGGTTTAGGGTGAATGCGCACCGGGTGAGAATAGCCACAAGACTCGCCTGCACTATTCTCACTCCGGGTGAGAATAGAGGTGGCCCTTTTAAAACCCCAGTCAATTGCTATGGCCTGAGCAATATGAGAAATAGAATTATTCTTTAGTTTTGTTGTTAACATTTAACGCTGTGTTTAACCCAAATGTCTCTGTGGTGACTTTTTAAATGGACTAGTCTTCGTGAGAGAAAAAAAAATCAATTTTAATTTCTTAGTATCTTAGATACTTAGTGTGCGTGGGTCAAGTTCATAGCCAGATGCCACAGATTTACAAGTAAACGTGATGTGACAGTTTAGTTTTTGTAACCTCGAGCGAGAGCAAGTTTTGGCACGATTATCTCTTATATTCTTTCCCTTCTGTCACGACGAATGAAGTTACAAACTTTCTTCTTCAAATCCTCGTTTTTCTGCGGTGAAGTGTTAGTAACTGGGGATAATCCTGGCAAACAAGGTAGAAAGAGCCTTCACCCTCACTAATTTCCTCCACGATCTGCAAAGCAATGATAGGGGCATGCAAGTTACAACCTAGAAGCGTCTTAAGGATCGCCCGGGGGGGGGGGGGGACTACACCTGAAGACTAACTCGCATGGTAGTGGACCAAATGTTACCAATTTGGACACATACAATAAGCATAAAGAGAAGTCTTCAAATCCGCAATCAAATTTGAGAAAAAGATTTGGGTACCATGGAGACGGCGACCATAATGGTTTTTGTTGACATGTATTATACTGTGAATACCTCACTTATTGTTCATGGAAACTGGTTGCTATTGTGCATGCTTGTTAGCAGACAACAGATGTACAAAAAAGCCTGTTGAACGTTTCCTAAACAAATTAGACGATTTTGTATGAACCTTTTTCTAAGGTGGTATTCATGTTTGTAAAAAATCCGTAAAAAATCCACACCATTAACAAAGTTTCTACTCCCTCTATTTAGAAAATCAATTGTGATTTAATGTTTAGTGTTGCATCTTTTTTTGATTCGGCGAACATTTCGTGAAGATTGGATGAAACATGGTACAGTTATTTTTAAAAAGTATACAGAAAAACCGCACTTTGAGAACGGGCAATAAAGAAAAATAAAGGATTGACTGTATGAGGAAATATTGGTGACTAACATGCCTTATATGTGAGAAAAAAGGCTTTAGATGGTTCTTAGGCGATGAAGTAGTAGTTGTCACTGAGACTGAATAAGCAAACAATAGCTACAGCTCAAAATCCGTAACTTAGATCCAAATCTGGACTTTCAGGGGGGGGGGGGCTGTTGCAAAATAAAGACCAACTCAGTGCTCCCTTTCGTATTCGGACTTAGAACTTCTACCTGCGTATTGTTTATTGTAGCAGGATCTTAACCAACTATGCCACTCTGGTTGATTGTGCTTTTCCAACAACACAAGTTACAACAAAATTCAAAGTGAGCTGCGCAATGGTTTTGTCGTAAGTTAAAAATTGGCTATTCGGACAACTCCAAAATGCATGACACATAACCTTTACTGCTTTCCTTAAAATTGCATTGATAATGGTCAGCTGTTCCTCTGTCCACATCCAAAGGTTCGAAGAAATAGTTGTAGCCTGTACATGTGTCTGAGCGCATCACCTGTCACATTCGTTCATTGGAATATTTCAACCATTTTTGGACAATATGATCCAAACAAGATAGGTTCCGATGAGTATACAGCAACAATCGAAACAGGAGATGGGGAGGTATGTAAGAAGACATCAGTCAAAAAAACCACTTACAAAAACAAAGTAAAGTTGTTCCCGCATCCGATCCAGACATTGGGGATTGCCTTGTTAGTGAGACAACTTCCTGGGCCTTCGGGGTATTGTGGTAGGGTGGCCAGTTCCTTTCCACGCCTCCTTTACTTCCCCATCTCGAAGTCAGGTACCCATTACTGCTGGGTCCGAACAGAGGCTTGGACCCGGACTTTCCGCTTCGGAGACAAGCTCACTAATGGCTGCGCTACCCTACCCTCTTACAAAAATAACAATGGCCAAAAAAAAAATTCCTTTCCAGTCCGGTTAAACGTATCGAGTACACATATTATATTGCCTCCTCTTAATTATATTTGCAAGAGTACACGTATATAATTAACTGACATTACACAAAATGAAAATATAAGGTGAGGTCCTGGATATGGAATAAAATGTGTCTCGACGTGTTACAATCAGGCACTTGTCAATTTTGGGGCATATAGAGTTATTAATACCAACATTAAGCTTACATTTAACGTTTTAAAAAAAGTACCTATCCATCTGAAAAAGAAAGTCAATATATTTGCTAGTGAAGGATGTGAGGTCGCCCTGGTATGACAAGTAAAATTAGCAAGAAAATGGCTGCCAAGGTTAGGTGGTTTTTAAAAATTGAGTATCCTTGAAAACTAGATATTTACATTTTGTGTGCCTTTGATGAACGTTTTCGAGACTGTCCACACAGAAATGAGTCTTTAAAAGGACATAAAAGGTGTTAAGACAAGGAAATAGATTTAAAAAATCATCCGAAAAAGAATTGCCCAAAGCCCAGAAAATTACCAGTTTTTATTATTTTTCTGTTTCGTTGTTTTGAAGAACGCCTGATTTTACTAGGCAGCCAAGCTAATGATTAGATAAAGAAGAGCGTATAGGGGTGCTGGGGACACAAAGACAGACGATGATCGTCACGTACGAGAGATTACTGGCTGTCCTGAGCATAACACGGCCTCAGTGAATGGGGCAGAAAGCATTCAGGAACGAAGAAATAATTTACCATTACCAAGACTCAGTTTTAATGCAAACATGTTTACTAGAATAAGTAGCAATCCCAGGTTCCTGCTTCCTTTTGTTTTTTTAAAGGGGAATGGGAAGGTGAGAATGAGAGAGAGAGAGAGAGAGAGAGA